GTGCTGCCTTTTGAAATCTTCTGTTCAACTCTTTAGTATCTTGAATTCTTCCCTGTGCTTTGGCTTCTCTGCGCTCCAGTGCAATTTTCAGAGTATCTTCTGACATCCATTTTGGTCTTTTCTTCCTCTTCTGTCTTTGCAATGACTGTTTGCACTCTGTTTTCTATATCATTTATTTCAGTTCTTGTCCTTAAAATTTCTTTCTTTCCAGAGGCTGTGGGGTTAGATTGTTGTTCTTTTTCTATGTGATGGAGGTATTGAATTATAACATTAGTTTTTCTTCTTACTTCACTTTTTAATGTGTTTGCGTATTGCTATGAATTGCCCCTGAGGACTGCCTTTGCTACATCCCAGAGGTTTTGACATATTGTATTTTCATAATAATTTGTTTTGAGGGACTTTTAAATTCCATTTTTTATTTTTTCTAGAGCCCAATCATGTTCTATCAGGTTGTTACTTAGCTTCTGCATTGGTGGCTTTGTAAGCTTTACCTTTTTGTTGTTAATTTCTAGTTTTATAGCATTGTGGTCTGAAAAGATACTTTGTATTAATTCGGTGTTGTTTTTTTTTTAATTTGTGGAGGTTTTCTTTGTGTCCTAATATATGATCAACTCTGGATAATGTACCATGTGCACCTGAGAAGAAAGTAAATTGTACAGCCCTTGAGTATGCCCCCCACCATGATTACACTCCTCATCCCTATATTCGCACCTCTGCCCTTAGATCCTCATACACAGTTTAATAGTCCTTGTAGAGCTGGTCATATTTTCACAAATGATATCATTTCTCTTTCATATTTGATAGACTGTGCTGAGTACAGAATCTTAGGCTGGCAATTGTATTCTTTCAACTTTCTATATATGCCATCTTATTGTCTTCTTGCTGAGAAATCAGAACTTAATCTACTTGATTCTCCTTTGTAGGTGACTGTTTTTCCTTGTGCTGATTTTAGCATTCTATACTTATTATGGAGAATATGACTTTGATTTGTCATGATGGTTTTTCTTTTGGGGTTTAGTCTGTTTGGGGTTTGTAGAGCTTCTTGAATGTGTATTTACTCGTTCTTCATAACGCTTGGGAAATTTTATTCTAGTACTTCTTCCACAATTTTCTAGTGCTTTCTCTGCCTCTCTCAATTTCTGGGATTTCAATCATGTATGTTCTTTTTATGTTACCCCACATGACTCTAATATTTTCTTCATTTCCCCTCTGTTTTTCTTTATAGTACATTCCAACTGGGATTCTTATATTTCAGCTCACTGGCTCTCTGTTCCATCTCTTCTATTCTGCTTTATGTCCCTCAATCATGTTGGACATTTCTGCCATTTTGGTCTTGATATTCTGGATTGCATTTTCACGCATTTCTGTTGATTCCAGTTCTATGTTGGCTAAACCCTCTCGGTCATGTGTTAACTTTTAAATTTCTTCTATGTATTTCTTCCATCTTTTGAAATTTCTTCAATAGTAGTGGTTCATGCTCCTCCATGCTGATATATTTCTTTTGACTACCTGTCTACAGGATTGTTATGTTGTTGTTATGTGCCGTCGAGTTGTTTGTGACTCGTAGCGACCCTATGTACAACAGCCCTAAACCCTGCTCTATCTTGTGCCAATTGCATTGCCTCTGACACACCCATCCCGATTACCCCAGTCACTGAATCAATCCACCTCATAGAGGGTCTTCACCTCCTGCGTTGTCCCTCTACCCTACCCAGCATGATGTCCCTCTCTAAATACCTGTCTCGCCTTGCAACATGTCCAAAGTATGTCAGATGAAGCCCCAGAATCTTTGCCTCCAAGGAGTAGCCTGGTTTAACCCTCTCTAGGATGAATCTGTTTGTTTTCTTGGCAGTCCATGGTACATTCAATACTCTTCTCCAGCA